CTAGCTTGGATCACCCTTTTCAATAATGTATTTGAAAAAGTAAGGAAGACTAGTAAAGTTGAAGCATTGGTTGGTGTTGTAATCTCTCTTCAGAATGAGAAACCACATCATCACAAGTCGTCCAAAGCTAGTTCTTGAGCTTAAAAACAAAGAGATCAAAGTTGTGAATTTGTTATACACTTCTTGAATTGAGAAAAACAAAATATATATGTTTTGTTTGTTCATGAATCTTGTAATGTAGAATTTTCAAAGAAATCATCTATTTTCAAAGAAGACCTGTCTCCTCGATTATGGAACTTAGATATTCACTCGTTTTTGCTGAATGGTTTAGTACTAAAGAGGATCATTCAAAGAATCTGAATAACAAAGAGAAGGCTAAGATTGATGTTTATAAAGTCAAATTGAATCTTGGAAATCCAACAAGAATAAGATAGCAAGCCAAAATCGAAATTAAAAAAAACTTGGTCTACATAAATCGTAAACCGAAAACCCCCACCCGGACCATAACCACAACCACCGAACCAGACACTCGGTTGGAAGTTAGGACACCATTTCTTCATATCATATCATCCGTTCTTAACCTTAGCAGTATGGTTATCACACAAAACCTAAAATTCATATTGGTAGAACAAAACACATATTAATAATAAATAGTTGACTAATCTTGCACTTGGACTTTTACTTTCTTGAGCTACTTCTTCTTAGGGACTGTTAGGATTTTCTTGAGCTACTTCTTCTATCTTTTTACATCTCTCGCTCTTTCCCTCGGGTCTCTCCTTAGGGCATGTTGGATCAATCTCGTGCTCCTTAATGCTTGGTCGCAGCCAGCTAATTCCTTTTGTGAATCCTTCATCCTCAAGGGTACATACGCTCTGGACTTGCCATTTTATTCCCTCGAGAGAAGGAAGTTCAAGCTTATCAGCGATATCCTTATCACTCAAGCCATCAACAAGATTTTTCTTGATAGCCAAAATAAGAAGGGGATTCTTCTTTCCCGACGACTGCCAATTCAAAAGCCAAATTGTAAAACTGATTACTGTAAAACAAACTTAAAACTGATTATTGCAAAACGATGACTTACTTGTTGTAGGATGTTTCGGAGCTCGGACTTGGCATTCGAAATAGTATCATCATGGCCGTCCACGAGGAAGATGAGCCCTTGGCTTGTCCCAGAAGAGTGGACCCTGATGAACACAGACTTCAACTTGCCCATAATCATTCCCTCATCATCAACATTCGGACCGAACATCAAAAAGACCCTGAAATCCTCGTCCTCAAGAATCTGTGGTTGAATTCCTCTCTTAGGCCTTAACATGGGTTTCACGTTTTTAGCAACCTCACTTACGAGACCCTCTAACTCTTCAATATAACTTTTTATGGAATCTTATTTCTCTATGAAGCTGGCCTTCTTTGCTTTCTCTTGTGAAATCAGTTCCTCCCACTCCTGGATGCGTTCATCCGAGAGATTAATCTGTTCTCGATTGTCTTCATAGAGTTTTTTGAAAATTTTAAAAGACGGGATCCGAGAGATTAATCTGTTCTTGATTGTCTTCATAGAGTTCCAATACACTGATAAAAAAACGGGAGTTGGAAAGCTCAAAAAATATTTCTCAGGTGGTGATCCTAATGGAGATCTGTTTTCGCTGCTGATATCTGCTCTCTGAACCCTGCGAAATGGGTAACAGGTGAGGCTATTAATGTTTACATGAGGGATTTGAAGCACAGAGTGTAATTTTCAGATGAGAAACACTTGTTCAATACTTATTTCTACTCAAAGCTCGTAATGGAAGCAAAGAGTGTACTAGTATTATTTTCTTTAATTTATCAAAACTGAAAACGTGGGAAAAAACATCACTGAATTATCGGAGTATTTCTTGTTCATTTTTTCGTTAAACTCAGTTTCGTTGACATTTAACATTCAAATTTCTTTTCATTTTTTCAATTATTTAAAAAAAAATTCATTTTCTATACAACTTGTAATTCATATTGAATGATAACTTGTTTGACTTATTCTAACAGAAAATGCAGGGGCTTCATAAAAGCATTAGTATAGTTTTGTTTTGTGTAATGAAATATCATTTATCATGTAATCAATCTAACATAAGAAATCAACTGAATGGAATCCAAAAAAAAAAAGACAACGTAGGAATTCTTCACCAAGCAAGGTACTAATTTAAAATTATACAATCCAATCCAAATGTGTAGGAAAGTTATGTGAAATCTATTGGTATACAAGCACAAATTGGGGTAATTCTTTTGCCCTGTTATTGATTAGTTTTGGCTTTGTTTATTAGTTGAGTTGTAATTAACAAATTGAGAAAATGTAAGGTTTTTTTTTGTGAGAATGTAAGTTTAGTGATATTGAATGTTAATTGAGTTTGGTAAATTGTTTGACTGTTTGAGAGGAAGTAGTATAATAGTAGAACATAATAATTCTATATAAGATGCATAATCTGTGCAAACTAACATCATAACTTTAGGTGTTCCATTAAATATAAATGATGCAGGTTAGTTTTCTTTAATTGATTTCCATCCCTTTTTAGTTATCTTAAAAAACACTATTTTTTACATTTGACTCAATCATAAATGTTACATATTTGATCTTAACACTTTCAAAAACTATGAATATGATGATGGACATTGAAAAAGCTCACACGTGACCACACGTGTGAAGTAATCTAACCAATAAAAGTCCCGGTACGACCAAAATAACCAAAATAACCGAAATCCCAATTTTACAAGAAGGCTAGATACTGGAAAATATATGATTTCTTTGAAATTTTGACATCACAAGATTCAGAAACAAACAAACCATTTTTTCTTTTCCAATTCAAGAAGTGTATCACAAATTCACAACTTTGATCTCTTTCTTTCTCAAATCTTGGAGTTTGAAGCTCAAGAACTAGCCTTGGACAACTTGTGATGCTGATGTGGTTTCACTCTAAATCTTTTTCTTCTTCTGTGATGTTTTAGCACTACCATCTTGAAGAGAGATTACAGTTTCAAAAGCACCAACCAATGCTTTAACCTTACTACTCTTCCTCACTTCTTCAAGCTTATTCACAGTCTCTTCAATCACATTATTGAAAAGTGTTTGCAGTTTCTTCTTTGCTTCCACTTTTCTATGCCTCAAAACAACCTTCTCTCGTTTACCATCACCGGTACTAATACTCGTCTTTCCAATGCCTTCTCGTTTATCTTTCAGA